CGAAAATGTGTTTTACCTGAAAAGCAGGCAGTGAATTCAGTAACAGAATGGCAGTGATTACATCCCCTGTGCCAACAGATCCGCTCTCAAGTAGGTTCTAGCTCAAAGCTCAGTGAAGCTAAGCAACAAGGTATAATCTGAATCCTTTCCACAATGTTTGTTACCTCGTAATGCTGTGCAAAAGTGTTACCACAGTCATCACAACTTAAGCTTGTTTAGAAAAGGAGTTAATTATAATTTTTTTTTCCCCTTTTCCTTTATGTTTGTTAGAGCATATTAAAAAAAGAACTGGATCTGCTGAGAGGAAGCAGTTTTGTAGTGAGTCCCAAAACATTCAGGTACAAACAAGCAAATTGTTTTTATACATTTCGTACCATCTGCTTAAACCGTGTATGTATATTAATAAGCAACAAGAGAATGACTTCAGTTGAAGTGTAGGTGCAATTGAGCTTTGGGTTAAAATGAGGTGTAGCGTCACTTTTAATAAGTGGGAATAAATTTCATTCTGTGAAATCACCTCACACGTTTGCAAGGGTTTATAGACCATGAAGGCAACTGTCCCTTGTGATTTGGAGCATCTGTTATAACACGCCCTGTGATCATCTCATAAGAGCTTCTTATGTAGCACTGCGATTTTGGTACAGTGATTGTTGATCCTGAACTGCTGATTTACAAGGTTTTTTTTTTTTTTTTTTAATGTGAAATTAACATGGTAATGAGTCTTACAGGACCCCAGTGAGGCTGGAACTGCAGTTGCACGTTTTGATTGCATGAGAACAAAACACTGAAATGTGTGATTCGGGATACTGTAATTATTTTTACTGAAATGAAGTAGTAGCGTGTCTGTTGGAAAAGTACCAGATATAGTATTTTTTTTTTTTTTTTTTTTTCCCCTCCTCGAGCAGACATGGCTACAGATTTGAATAGAAACTGCACGTGGACACTAAATGATATTTTCTACTGGATGAACTTCTCACCAAAGTTGCCCTTTCTGTCCAGCAGTTTGGTTTGTGAAAGTATTTTTTAAAAGCAATATTTGTTACATGGATCACATGTACTGTATATACGTAATGATTATGATGACTTCCGCAATTATTGTAGTGTCTGTTTGAGCCACATGACCAAATCGACGTTGAGGTGGTTCGCTGGTGCTGTTTTAGGTCACAGTGCCAGTGACCGTTGGAAAGGGTTCATCCTGGAATCACTACTATGCTCAAGTGACCAATAAATCCTTCATTCCTCAAGTCATCTGATTTTATTGTATATGAATAGCTAGTTTTCTCTGTGTTGCTGTGTAAGGTCTGCTCTATGTAAGGACTGTGTTGGGGTGTATGTATACACAGTTCTGTGCAAAAGTCTTAGGCACCCTATTTATTTATTTTTTTTTTTTCTTACAAATTTTGTTATAGATTTGTATTTTTTGACTTCTACATTATTGATTCAGTACAAAAACATTTTAGGTTTCCAAACATTAGTTTTCCAGCACCAAATTAAATGTTACAGAAAAATGTTTGTATGTCAGTAAAGAAAGCAGCAGATTACATAAGAGACACTTTTCAGACAAAAAAACATATTGAAGGCTGCTGGGTTTTTGCTGCAAAAATAAGAAGCGAGTCGACAGTCAAAGTCTCCAGAAGAGCTGTGGCTGCTTCTGCAAGATGCTCAGTAACACTTACAGCTCATTTCCTTATAAAACTGCACTAATTGTACCTGAGAATTCTAATTTTTTTTTTTTAAGCAAAGGGTAATCGCACCAAATATTAACTTTTTCATTTATTACTGTTTACTGCTCTTTATAGTGGGTTTTTTTTAATGTAGAAACATTTAATTTCATTATTTTTAAAGGCATCTTTGCTCTACAGCATTTCTTTGCATGTGCCTAAGACTTTTGCACAGTACTGTGTGTGTTTGTAAGTGTGTATGTGGCCAGTTACCTGGAAAACACACAATAACCTATTTGTTTAGAAACCTAGCAATAACTGCTTTATCCTCTTCAGGGTTCCGGTGCTTCTGGAGCTAATCCCAGAAACACTGGGTGTGAGGCGGGAACATCAGTCCCTCACAGAACACCATTCACACACACTTTCACAGCTAGGGATAATTTAGAATCACCAATCCACATGCCAGCATGTTTTTGGGAGGAAACCAGAGAACCCAGAAGAAAACCATGGGGAGAACATTGCGAAATGCTACACAGATAGTAACCTGAGCTCAGAATCAAACCGGGAACCCTGGAGCTGTGAGATGGCAAAACTACCCACTGCTCTAAAAGTAAAGATGACTAAAATGGATCAGATGGCTTGCAATAAATTTATTTTTCACATATATTAAATCTCTATGGAACTTTCTGGCTGGTGTTATAGAGAACATTTGATGATAAAAACAGTGCCTGCGGATAGATAAAGACATTTGTGTTACAAACTCTTCCTCTAAAATGCCAACAGAGCATGTCCTGTATCAAATATCAAACTAAACTTAGCCAGAACAAAAATGGCATCTTTAGTTTAGGCCTAAACTGAGCAGCTCCCAACAAGACCATATCCCAAATGAGCAATCCCTGGCTATCAGGTGACGGGAAGTGTAGCGTGCAGGTTCGTTGCTCCCTGTGGAATGTGTGGACAAACATAAAGGCAGGACTGCGTGATGGACATCGGCGGTTGTCTCAAATGTCTCCGCTGCTGTAGAGATCCAGTGTAGCGGGGTTTGTACCTGTGTGAAGCTTTACAAGGTGCTGATGCAGGACTCGGGACTCCTCGAGCTTGTAAGGCCTGAGAGGGGCATGACGGTCACAGCCTGAACACAGTAAGTCGTTTGAGGGCTTAAGTGCTCAATCAGGAGCTTCCTCGGGCAGCCTTCAGTTTCATGTATCTGCGGGTCAAATGTGGTAGACAAGGGGAATGGTTACAGGGAATGTGAGACAATAATACACTATATAGCCAAAAATATGTGGACACCTGACCATCATACACACACACACACACACGTGCCCATTCCTCCCTTTGCTCTTATAATAAGCTCCACTCTTCTGGGAAGGCTTTCTACTAGATTTTGGAGCGCGACTGCGGGAATTTGTGCTTAATCAGCCACAAGAGCATTAGTGAGATCAGGCACTGATTTCGAGTGAGGCCTGAGGTGCATTTGGTGTTCCAGTTCATTCCAGATGTGTTCAGTGGGGTTGAGATCAGGGCTCTGTGCAGTCCACTCACTCGCAGTGTGCACAGGAGCATTGTCATGCTGGAGCATGTTTGGGCTCCCTAGTTCCAGCGAAGGGAAATTGAAATGCTACAGCATACAAAGACATTCTCTACAATTGTGTGCTTCCAACAGTATGGGGAAGAACCACATATGGGTGTGATGGTCAGGTGTCCACATTCTTTTGTCCTTATAGTGTATATGATGATATTTGATCAGGAAAGGAAAGGAAAGACTAAATGGAGGAAAGTTCCATATACAGCAAAATGTCTATAAGTGTTCCATTATAGTTCAGTAATAAAATCCAAAAGTGTCTACTACCAAGTGGAAACAGGTTTGTTATCATTCGTCAGTACTATAAAATAAAATAGCTTGTTCATACTGACTGAAAGCACCAACATTTAAAATTCATACTACCTGAATGAGTATCTGGTATCACTAATGCTCTGATCTGGTGCTCTGACACCAAGCAGAAATGGTTTATTCCTCTTGTACCACAGCAATTTGCCAACAAGTGCAGTTTTTTTTTTCTTAATGAATAACACGTCATAGTTTTTAGTTTAGTCATAGTTTATAAATAGTTGTATTTATATTTGCATTTAACGTTGTGGAATGTTTGCAAGACAAGATCCTGTTATCACACAGGAAAGAAAATGTCATGTTACCGAGAAACCGGAAAGCTCAGAGCCCTCCTTCCTGAAGACTACTGCGGTGGAAAATGTACTGACTGTTACAAAGTGCTGACACTGGAGACTCCTTCCAACTTCACCACATCAACAAGTGTACACTTTGTGTACATGTTACATGTATATTACATGTATACATGATCAATAACAACACAACACATCCTTAGTAACTATTCATTCTTAGTAACTGTTTTATCCTGGTTCAGTCAAATACATTTTATTGGTCACACACACAACCATACACAGTACGACGTGCAGTGAAATGCTTTTTTTTCCGACTGTCTGTGACATAAAACAGAATTTACATAACAGTCACAGTGGTTTCAATTATTAATTTGTTTTTATTTTAGGAAAGAGAACCAACGAAGAGCGTTAGAAAACATCGCAAGCAGGTAGAAACAAGAATAATAACGGCTTGTGCTGCTGCAAACCAGAAACCACTAGAAGCGTACTTGTAAATGATCTGAAAGCTGGAACGGAACTGAATGACCTGAAGTTGCAGCTCTGCAGGTGAACGCTATTATAGGGAGTGGGCAGAAGTAGGAATTTTTAAACAAAACACACACACATCTAGTACACGGTAATGAAATCAGTCATTTAGAATCAACGCATCGTATATATTTTGGGGAAACAAATGAAAAATGCCTGTTAGCTGCTCAAACCTGCATCTTCCTTTTTTAGTTTTTAGACATGTAGTGAATGCGGAAAATATGGCTGATCAACTGAAGAGGGCTTTAGGATTTGTTTACTGTACCTGTTCCACCCCGTCATGCATGAGGTAAATCCTAAATATCAGCTTCAGTAGTTTAGTAACTGAGATCCTGCTGTTCCTCTGGCCCTGTAGAGGGGTCCGTGGAGGTCTGATCCAGACCACAATGCCTTGCTCTGTCACATTCAGCTTGATTTTTGGTGGGCTGAAAGTGGCTGTGATACAAAGGGAATCATTTCATTTGAAGTTTTTTCTTAGCACATATATTTACACATATCAGTGTATTTAAATACATTTACATTTATGGCATTTGGCAGACGCCCTTATCCAGAGCGACTTACATTTGGTCTCATTTATACAACTGAGCAGTTGAGGGTTAAGGGCCTTGCTCAAGGGCCCAGCAGTGGCAGCTTGGCGGTGCTGGGATTTGAACTCATTGACTTTCTGATCAGTAGCCCAACGTCTTAACCACTGAGCTACCACTGCCTTATGTCATGGAAAAAATACACGTGATTATGTATAAAGACGCAATCAATCAGCCGTGAAAGAGCCATCAATCTTTATTTTTCTTTTCCATGACTTGCTTATAACAGATTTTTGAGGGTTTTTTTTTTTTTTAGTACTTGTGTCAGTGAGATGTTTTTCATCACAGAAAAAAGTACTGTCTACAAATTATATAATTTATTCAGGTATTTTTTAGAACATATCAAAATTCAAAGAAATAGCTTTGTAGGCCATCTGCACATAAATGTAGATCACACTGCAAAAAATGACATCTTAGTAAGTGGAAATATCTTTAATATAGTCACTTACTATCTTTAATATAGTCAGTCAGTTATTATCTAGTATTTCCTAGTATAAGATTAAATTGCATTTGTACTAGTTTCAGGTTTGAAATAATCCTGTCCTGTAGGCATAATTTTGCTCATTATGCATTTATTTCTAGAAAGATGCAATTATCTGCCAATACAATAAGAAAGTAAATTTAAAGCTTGAAATTACTCAAAAGGTCCAGAAATAATCTTTCAATAATCTTATATGTAGTTTATTATAATCTTATAATAGGAAATATTAGATATTTTGACTATATTCTAGTTATTTCCATTTGCTAACTGAATTATTATTATTATTTTTTTTTTTACAGTGCAGGGTTTTTAATCATATCCACTATCCATTAAAAAACCCTTCAAACTGCAGATCAGGTTCCACCACGCAGGACTGGAGAAACAATGTAGAGATAAAAAAACAACAACATTTGCTACTCACTGTCCCACTGAGGGTAAAACCTGGCGCTGGTGACCCATGGTGAGAAACCTTTGGAGGATCGAGCCTGAACCCTGGCATAGTACCACTGGCGCGGTTCAGACGTCTCCTGGCTCAGGTCACACTGCAGTTTATGGATAGCCTGGCAGGGCTCACACACACTCCACTGCTTGTCCCCATACCTGCGACCACGATGACACACTCAAATTCAGGGTGTCAGTGAACAAAGTCTTGTGTTTAGCATTGTTTTACTTTAGTAGTAGACTCATAAACTATATATATACTCATAGACTATAGTTTGTGACAAGGTGTATCCATATGCAACAAATAAATCTGAATCTAAATCTGGATTTTCACCACCACTGGTCTGAACCATTTATGTCTGAACCATAGTTATATATTTACTATATTTTTATTTGTTTTGTTATTTAATTCCAATGGTACAATATCTTACACACATATTGTAGATACCTCACAAAAATCTCTACAGTTATACACTGTACATACTTGTATATTTATTTATTATATTATTACACTTCTCCTTCATGCACAATATGTCACCTAGATCTATTCTTTTTTAACTACCTGCTTTGATTTGTAACCTCAGAATTTCACTCAGCTTTTATACTCTCTATCCTTTTATACTTTCTATCCTTTTATACTTTCTATCAAGTGATGTGGCAATAAAGTCGGAAATCTAAAAATCTGTAAAAAGCTGTAGCTGTAATGTACTAAGTTTTAAGATGCTGCTCATTAAGAGCACAGCTGAAAAATTCATTTTACAGTTTTAATTTCTGCATTCTTCAACATCAACCAACCAAACTAAACTAAAAAAAAATCCTGAAAACCTGAAAAAAAATTACATCATAAAAACATTAAAAAAAAAAAAAAACTTGATGCTCTTATAAGAAGTTAGCATACAGGACAAAACAGTGTTATAATACAAGCTTACACTTTATACTGCACAAAATACTGCAGGTCATCTGGTGCCTCAGGATGGTGTTTCCACTGCAGGACATTTCTGAAGTTCACTGAGTGGAATTCCACCTGGAAGGGCGCCGTGTCGTCCTGAAGCTGTACACTGCCTTAAAGATACAGAGAGTGATAAAATCAAGGTTATAATCTCAAAAAGCAGCACTTACACAGCTAGTAAAAGAGCTGCAGAGGCTACAGTGACTTACTGTCTGCAGCACAGAGCAGTGCTAAGTCCCACAAGAGCAGTAGTGTGCTCAGGACGCACATGTTTCCATCTGAAATGAGTAGATGTGCTTCGACTCTTCTACGTTTTTAATTCCTCTTTCAATCCCGACTGAGGAAGTCTGGTTGTCCGAAGCAGCGCAGCAAAGCAACAGAAACGGTAGATGTTCATACGTCATTCATATGATGTGGGTAGAATTTCAGGTCTTTTAAGGTCTGATCCGTACCACTTTGGAGTAATACATAAGAAGATATATTGTAGGGAAAAAATAAAAAAGAGATTAAGTCTGAACCCGGATGTGGATAACAATAGACGTAGACAAAGCTATTTATCTCAAGCTATCTGTCCAGACAGATATAAATGATTATACGACAGTGGTGTTGAATTCTCAAATCTGACTGATCAGAAGGTGTTGATTAATTGTCTATACCAGCAGCTCTGACAATAGTGTCAGCTGTAATTGAAATCACAGGTTTATATTAATGCTCTCATTCTAAAACATCTATGTGGACATACATGGTGGACACACCACATAACTGAAGATTAATAATAAATAAAATGTGTCGTTATTTAGCAAAGAAAAACGTGTAATTGTTGGTATGCCGAATTTTTCTGTGAGGACATTTTATATTTACCGTAGCTAACATTTATGGAAGGAGTCTCCAGTGTCAGTGCTTTGTAACAGTAGGTCTTCTGACACAGGTAAGCCTTTAGGAAAGAGAGCTTTCTGGTTTCTTAATAACATGACAAGGTGCATTTTGTCTTCTTAATTTCAAGAGAGAGAGAAACATTGAGGACAATTAACTGTAACTACAAGTGGATAATAAGTATGACATGTCATTCTTTAATGAATAGAAAATTGTAAATGTTTTGGCAAATTGCTGTGAAATAAAAGGGGGATGAAACCCACGGGATACGCTGTCATTGGTGGTAAAAGCCATCTGCTCTGCACTACACTGTCGTTGATTATTTACCTATAACAGCACTCCCCATTGTGTGTATTCCTTACATAAGTTATGAATGAATATAGAAAGTATTGATATTAATTCATTTAAATACGCTAACACATATTAATGCAGGTCTGATGCTTAATATACTTCTTAGGCAAAGAAGAATTTAATTATTAATACAGCGTGTCCCAAATTTACAAACTTTTACAACTTTGATAATAAAAGTGAATTTTACTAACAGACACATATTGTAGAATTACCACTCAAGGGAATTTAGACATAAAAAAAACTCCAAAAGTTTTTTTTTTCATAAAGTAACAAAGATGAAATCATTCAACATTAGTGGCATTAATGATGCGCAAAAACATCCAGGCAATAAAACAAATGCTGCCATGAGAAAACTGAGAAAAAGTTGTTATTCAGGAAAAAAAAAAAAGGAATGTGTGTCTCTGTAAAATAGAACAACATATTTCTACACCTCTGTGGTTTACCTTCATACATTCATATCTTTATTTTAAGTCACAGTGATCATTTTTGGACAGTGTATTTCATCTCAGTGTAAATGGCAAACCACACAGGAGTATGTATTTAGCACATGCACAGCCAGTTTTTGACGTTTTTGAGCGCTTTGAATTGAATCAGTATTGCCCCTGACCAAACAAAATAATAAAGACTAAGGATTAAACAAGGAAAGTAAAATCTTTGTGGAACTAAACTGCTCACTCTTTCATCCTAATGATACTCTAAATATGTGCTTTATTAAAGAAGGTGCATTTGGACAGTAAATGTGTTATGCCTATAGATAAAAGACTCACAGGCAATGCTAATATTTAGTGTAAAACATAAGCATCTGTTTATGGTCTGGCCAAAGTGTCTAATTCGAGTGATAAAGCTTTTCCAATTACGTTTGATATAGACATAAACATAAAGTCATTTCTAATATTTCTCACTTCATTAACAATCAATAATATTTAAACATTTCATGATTCACATGGTCAGATTTTCCAAATCTTGGATTATTTAAATGAGGTCATTTACGCAAAATAATAAAATACTGTATATAGCATGTAAAAGCAGTGTATCATTAAGTACAGTTAATGTTATGGCTCGCTGTGTCATATCCTTTCTAATCATCCATCACACACTTCCTAGTATCATGAAAAAACTTTCCTTCACTTTCATATTTGTAAAGTATGGGTTAAAATGTTCTCTCTTATAAGGCTAATGGGAAATTCCTAAACAATTGCTGTCTCCTGCCTTGGGCATTAATTTTATTGCTTCCTCTTCCACATGATTACTCTTTACTGCAATTTCTATGCATCATAAAAATCACAATGTAAACCACATAAAGCAGAGAACCGCATTTCCTCCTTTACATGAGTGTGGTGTAAAGTGACTCACCTTCGCTATTGTAATACAGGTGACCTTTTGGTTTCCACACTCTCAATTCACATTTACTGTTAACTACCATTTTCATTATAACTCAGCAAAATTCAATAACTTCCCGCATTACTTACGGATTGCTCCTGACGTTAAATGAATATTTCATTACGCCTCTGCAAACTTTGCACACAGGTAAAGAAAATAAACTATTGTCATGCTGATTGTAAATCATTTGGAATTCATCAAGCATCAGGAGCTGTCAGATGGGAAATATGAAAAAAAAAAAAAAAAAATGTCTTCAATCAAAAAAATAAAAATTAACTAATTGCAAAAAGACAAAATTAACATAAACGCTTTGGAATAAGGAGTCTTCAGTTCTTGCACGCTTAAATATAAAAATATTGCCTCTATTACTAACTGTATTATACAGTATCATTATGTAAATACAGTAGATATACTTTTGCAGAAAAGAGCGGAGCAATACATCAAATCATGCAGATACAGGTCAAGAGCTTCAGTTAATGTTCACATCAAACATCAGAATGGGGAAAAATGTGATTCAGTAACTTTGGCATGGTTGTTCGTGCCAGAAAGGCAGAAATGTCTGCTCTCCTCGAATCTTTACACAGAACAGTCACTAGATTAGACACAAAATGGTACAAAAAACATCCAGTGAGCAGCAATTGTGTAGG